ATTATGGTAGCAATGAGCCACAATAGATACCTGCAACAGCACAGAGGTAGTGATGAAAATTGCCTTCGGGCTGCGCTGTAGGAGTGAACAACAGAGGAAGCATCTATTTCGCATGTACATCAGTGGCAGGTACACACACAGACACCCACACGTGTACAGTACACAAAAATACTGACATTGATTTGTACACATGCGCAAACACTCACAGGCACACACACAGCTCAATAGGTGGTCTGACAGAAGTGGTTTATTGTGCATGAATGCTCCTCAAATTTCACTGTGTTGCATCAGCCAGCCAACTGTGTTTTTGCTAAATTAGTTTGCCCTTGTTTCCGAGAACAAATGAAACGGCAGAGTGTGCAGAGTAAATGGCATTTAGGTCTCACATTTAATGTGAAACATAGCTGTGCAAAATGAATGTATATGTATCTGAACATTATTTAGCAAGATTCAGAGCCACCGACACACATTGTATCACATATGATTGATTTTTATAGATTCTTCGAAGGAAAAAAAAAAAATATTCTTATAATTTAGTAATGAGTAATTCAGTAGTTTTTTTTTTTTAAGTAAAAAATAAAATGTAACTTTGATGCACCACCTGAAAAAATATAATATGATATAATATAAAATGTATTTAAAAATATGGTCAAAACTGGCAGAAAACACTTTGTGCCCAAGTCTGATTATGCAGATATGGTGATGAGGCTTTCGAGCATTGTCGGTCTCTGACACTCGCTTGGTTTGTTGAACTAATTAAATGATTAATCCTTTCATTACTTATTCATTTATTTGTTCATATATTTACTCATTTCATCAGTCATTCACTGAATCACATAATGTGATACAAAGACTTTAACACCATCATACATTAATTATATTTTTCGGGCATGATAAGTCAACATTTCATGTTAAGCCCATAGTTCAGGGGATATTGTCTGTTGACAAAAAGTCAGCTCCGCAGACGCAGAAACATTTCTACATTTGCTGCGATAGCATAAGCGAATGTGTCTCTTAACATGTCAAGCAGCCAGATCACGAGTGAGCAGTTCAAGTGACCCAGTAGCTGAGCCAAGACGGCAGAATAAGTGAAAATGTGATTGACAACTGCAATATCCATGATGTATTTGCCTACGGGAGCAGTGTCGGTGGACTGCAGCATGCGGTGTAGGTTTATCTGAATCCGCTCTGATGTCTAAAAACATATCTAGTAAAATTCACTCAAGAGTTTACACCAACACAAAACAGTCACAGCAAATAAACCCAATATAACAAGTAAATTTCCTGCCTACTGCAGTTGTGTGTTGTGCCTCAAAAACAAGTGTTGTGTTTGTATCTGTGAATTTTATCAAAAAGTTACTTGTTCTTAGGTGTAGGTGATAGCTGGCACTGTAAATGTTTCATCATTCTCCCTGCCTCCTGTCTCAATAAATGAAAAAAAAAAAAAAACGTAAAAACGTGCCTTCTTTTTCAATCTTACAGAAAGGGAAAAAAAATCAGCTGCTTGTGAGTATGCTGAGACACATAGCCTATATACTACTGTATGCACAACATACATAACATGCATCCCCACACGCACCCGCTGCTGTCAGGCCTGGTTTCTTCAGTGGTTACCGACTTTGTCTTTCATCATGGTAAAGAGAATGTGTGCAGGGCATAGTGACAGATTCACATACACAGCCACTAAATTAGGCCCAACCCTGCGGATATTTTTAGCTATTGAAATTTTTTTTTTTTTTTTTTTTTTCTCAAACAGAATTTGTCTGATAGTTAGTTTGGGTGGTGCTGTTTTTGTATTGTCTTTAATCATGTCTCACATCCTATGCTGTACTGAGCGCTCTTTCTTCTGCACAGCACTGGGCTGTTTTGTTCTAGTCTGGTCTTGTCTGCAATGCTTTGGTCTAGATTGTGTGTTTCTATTCTATTCTATTGTATTCTATTCTATTCTATTCTACGGCAGCACAAAGGAAAATGTGTACCTCAAACTGTTACAGTTACATATATGGTGCCAGAATTCAACCTCCACCCCTTTTCAGATATTTTTAACTCTTTGACAGTTGTTCCAACAGAAACTGTCTTTGAGACAGAGTGATGGTGAGAGTTGTGGCTGTGAATTTTCCTCTGTCTTGTCGTTTCACTGTTCTCCTGTGCCATGTTAGATTTCTGTGTTGTCTATTCTATTTTAAGATACTCTGTTCTTTTTCTTTACCTTGTTTTCATATGCCATCCCACCCTGCGTTCCCATCCCGTGCGCCTCTCTTTAGTGCTCTAGTGCTGTACTGCATTTGTCTGTTCTGTTCCTACTCTGTTCTGACCTTCCTGTTATCTGCTACATTTTTAGTATCTCACTATCAGGTGCAGTGAGTGACAGTTATTGGTCTGGTGTCAGTGGCTCAGGCTCAGGCGTTACCTCTCTTTAAGGCTGATCTCATTTCCTGCACACTTCCTCTGTGGGGTTAACGGCTGGCAGGCTCATACACATCCTGGCTGAGGTACATAGCAGGGAAAACAAAATAGGAGCCATTGCTGTCATAGGAGTAGAATATAACGTGTGTGCAGTGACATTTCACCGTGTAATTGTTTCAAAAGTCCAATTACTAAACGAGAGGGGTAACGGGTGTCTGTGCAGCCATGATGACAATAATTCCTCCTTAATTGTTCCTTAAAATCTGTCTTTGCTCATCACTGCTTCCCACTTCTATGTATGTGTCTGAACCCTAGCTGAGCAAAAGAAATGAAGGTAACATGGTTTTTTTTTTAAACTGAGGTTTTTATTTAACCTCGCAAACACGCCTTTTACACATCTCATGAAGCTTTCAAATTTGAGGTAAAATACTTGTAGAGCCGTGAAACTGGCGTCATTAATCAAACGACCTCCTCCAGAAAGTAGAAAAATAAGAACCAGAAGCCTTGCTTTCTGTCTAATGGCTTGAGAGGCCCCAGGCCACAGCACAGAGCCTGTCGGGGAAAAAGGGAAAAAGCAGCGGGGGGAAATGGAAGGTGAAGAGCAGCAGCATGATGTTCTACCAAAAATGAAAGGTGCGCTCCAGTGGTGATTATGTTTTTCATAACAGAAAAAAACACTTATTAGAACTGGATCTCAGATTTAATATGTCCTTACATAGAAGATAAATAAGAAATGGGGCTTTTACTACAGAATAGAAAGTTATAGGAATATAGGAATATTTCTATAACTTATAGTTTGCCCTACTTAAGGTACTTACTTTACGAAAAGTCATTAACAAGTCAGGAACAGCAGTACAAGTTGATATTCTTTATATCAAAGTCCACGTTCATATTACAGCTGCCATACTGGCATATCTTGCTCTTTATTCAGTCACAAAAACTGATGGTCCTATTTTTGTCTTAAATATTTCAAACACAATTCATGATTTAGATGGATGAAGATAGGAGCTTGCAGAAATAAGGCCAGTTGTTGGACAGAGCTGAAGGCAGAGGTGGTTGGTGTATTTTTGCTCTGTACCCTGTTTCACAGTTTCTGATGGAATGGCTGTGACGCCGCCAACCACGGACACAAAGTATAACAAACTGGCCAAGAAATGAAATCATCTTACATGGCATTTAGATCCATACTATACAATGCCAGTGGAATCAATGGAATCCTGAAGGATTTATTAAACACTTTATTTGATAAAGTTCAACGCCATTCATTTCCTATGAAATAACATTCATGGACATTCAAGTAAAATCAATTTACCTACCATTCAGTTCCACACCATTCAATATGTATAGGATCATTTTCACTCACTTCAATCAATCCAATGTGTAATGCAAACGTTTATGTTCACTCGTGAGGGTTGTTAGAGGAAGCCTCAGCTCAGACCTCCTTCCTGTTTTGTATTTACTTGTGAGACTTTTAGGTTATATATCATCAGCATGCTCTACAGTGTAATATAGCCTTCCATTTGCGCTATAATGGTATGTCCCGGTGTCTTTGATTTTCCTGTCTGGTAGACTGACTGGGGGCCCAGAGCAGAGGGAAAGGAAGTGTGATAAACTGTCCATGGAAAACATAGGGGGCCCATATCTGGGCACTTTAGCTAGGGTTAGTAACCACAGCCAAAGATGGAAGGAGGCAGATAGAGAGGCCTCTCCCTGCATGGGTGTGATAGGGCTAACCCAGTTCTGGTAATTTAGATGTTCACTGGCTGAAAATGTGTTTTCTTACATAAAGAAAACATTTTTTTCCGGGTTTTCTTCCATGACAAATTACACATGACTGGTCCAAACATTTAAAGCTTTTAATTAGCCATGGAAGCAGTGTGGCTCAAGGGATGGCATTGTCAGTGGGTCAATCTACCACATTGCTCCAGACTGAAATATCTCATGGCTCCCGGTTCCCACCTAGTGACTTTGGTGATCCCCTGACTTTTCATCTAATGCCACCATCAGGTCAGAGGTTTGATTTGTCCGGTACTTTGGTTTAAGACCAAACTAATGGCATTCCGATCAGCCTGAGCTGTAATTTGTGTTCAGTGCTAATTAGCTACTGTAGGCATGCTAACACGCTAAACGAAGATGGTGAACATTGTTAACATGTCGTTATGAGTAGGTAAGCATGCTGATGTTAGCATTACATATAGTGCAAAAGCTGTATGAGTTTTAGTCTTGTTTTTTCTTACTTGTTTGGGCTTTGGGCGCTATGTAACTGGTGTAAGAACACATATGGCCAGTAAGATGTTGCAAATTGTGACTTTTGACATGAAAATCTGTGATTTTTTAATAGGAATAAATAAGGAAACCAGATAATTGTCGATGATTAACAAGATGGTAAGAAAGCTTCACCTATTATTACTGCTCAAAGGTGGTTTCCACCATTCCAGGTAAAATTGGACTTGTGACGATAAAGGATTTAAGTAAACCACAAACGTATTGTAAAAGGACGCTTAAGAAGTCATTATTTTATCATTTAAAACACCATTGAATCTATGATAAGATGCTTTGAATAAAATTCTTTATTCAATATTACATTACCACGATTCTTTACAATAGTCATTAATAATCTATGCTACTGTGATGAAAGTGAAACGCTGTACATATATTTTTACATGAGGGCACTACGGTCTGGGCATATTTCTCCACAGAGCTTTACATATTGTATGAGGACATGTCCTTAATGTTGTCTTTGTTCCCCTGTGACCAAATTGTGATCATTATTTCTTAACAGATACTGTGCACATACATGAATATGTTATTGTACTTGGCTTGTCAAAGCTTTGTAACAGTACGATTCCTCAGATGCATGCATTGTTCTCAGCACGTGCGTTCTCAAGTGTACATACAGGAAAACCATTAGGAAAACACCTGTAAAGAGGAGCACTGTACATCATCGTAGATTAAAAGTAAATAAACAGAAAAATGATAGTGGTCCTGAATATACAATTAATGTAGAGTTCATTAATACAGAACTTCATACAAACTCACATCATTCCTTTGAAAAATATAAACAAAACTTTCAGCGAGAGTTGTCGTGATTTTCACTGTATAACACATACAAAATAGCACCTGTGCATGATGATTTTCTTCTTTAACTTCTTTACAGTCAGTGATATCCTGTGAAAAGTCACACCTGAGAACCCTTGGTGACTGCATAATCTAAACTCATCAATTAGACTCCAAAGCCAGCAGATGTTGCCACAGACAGAAAGTTGAATACTTGAGTTGCAGTTGAAGGAGTTGAGAGTGGAGATGACAGTCATTAGATGATCCAGTATATGTGACAAAAAGACATAATTTAACAGTTAAACATACTCAAGAAAGGCAAATGTTCTCCCTTCCCTTTAGTCATTTTTCCACCGAGCTCTTCATTTTCCTTCTCCATTTTCATGCAGGTTACCACCCAGATCTGCGTCATACACACACACGCGCACACACACACACACACACACACACACACACAAACACAAATACACACAGAAAGAGAGCACACATGTACAAATGTGAATACATAAACACATTCAGGTTTTTTGAAAAAACCCCACAGAATAAAAGTTGTACAAACTTCACAAGGAAAAACAAAATCAACTGTAATCTTTCACTGAAATATGTTGAGCATTTCACTGCTGATGGAGTGTGTGGGTGCACCTGTGATAATATACTGTATGCGTCATAGGAACACGATCAGCTCCTGTGTGACCGTCACATGCTCATCAAGCAGACAGCTGAAGTGCAGTCAGGGTTGTTTTCATAACAGGAAGCCCAAATGCGAGCCAGATATGGCCCACATGTTCCCATATACAACTGCCTCTACTTTTTGAGTTTGCTTGGTTTGAGTTAGCAGGAAGGGAGCTAGCTTTGGCCCGGTGTTGGGCATGGGCCACATTTGCCTATTTCACTGTACACAGTGAGTGATAGAAGTTAATAGAAGTTAGTAATGGAATAACACACATTGCTAAATTTCATTGCCTAATGTTTCACTTGCAGTCAGCATTAGAAAATGTGAAACTGAAGAAGTCTTGACAACATATCTTTGATATATTGCACTACAAAACAATGATGGTTTCATTAGACCTAAAAACTTTCAAAAGGGGGCAACTTGTCCTGTAGGGGATCTGCAGTTTAGGGTCCCACATGTTGCCTTTACTGTACAAATAACAATTAGTGCACATTCCCTTGCATTGCGCTGAACAAAAGTATCTGACCATTATCTATAGACAGGAATCCTGAATGACATAATGACATCACTATTCTGGGAAACCCAACATGGGATTGTTACTCAGCGTTTTGGAGAGTGTAAACTAAAGCCTGCGTCTGAATCTGACTGCCTATGCGAAATGAAAAAAAAAGCCTCATAAATCATCACTCTTTAACACTAGGGAACTGACATATAAATCACTTGCAGTCTATATTATCCCCGGGGGTATCTGTGCTTTGCACTGTCAGGCTGTCTGTCTCCCAACATGTCAGTCTGGCAGACTGTACATCATGATCACTATTATTATTGCAATTGTAACATTTAACAGGGTATGGTATTTTAGGCACCGTTATACAAAATCCAAACATGAAAGTCATTGTCTCTTCACAGAGGCTATAAGTACAGTATGTTTTTGAATCTGAGAACAGTGGCTGAGTAAATTGTAAGTGAACCTAAATACAAATAACCATATATACAGTATATATATAGTTACAAAAATACTTAATGCCAGGGAAGAAAAGTGGTTCTATTCGCAAGAACTGAACTTATAATGGCAAAATTAACTTGTATCTGAAAACTCTTAGTCAACTGAGGAAACAGTTCAATTATATATAAAAAAAAACAAGCTTATAAAAACTATATAGCTACAACTACAACATAACAAACGTGTGACTAAGTGGGCTCGTAAAAGAGGATATAATGTAGAAGTCATCGAAGTTAAATAGAGACGGATTTTATGGATTATGCTTAGAACAGCAGTTAGACAAAATTACCCACCAGACTGCGTCTCTCATATGTCAGAACGTCTAACTATATCAGTGTGTGTCATCTAACAGTGAACACTACAGTCGTGACTCACCATGACAAATCTGAACACACACACACACACACACACACACACACACACACACACTGGCACAAAGAACAATTGTCCAATGTGCTAAAATTTTTATCAGTAGTCTGTTTATTCTTATAGAGTGGTTCAAATGAACAACTGTCCTCAGTTCATTGTCAGTTCATAGTCTTATCATGTATAATCCTCAGCCTTCTCAGCCTTGTTAATCCGACACAACAATACGGTGGAGGAAATTTTAGTGTCCAGAATATGTGTGTGAATGGTCACCTCTGTACAAACCCTGTCATCGTGTCTATGGTCACGCAAGACCAACAAAAGCCTTTGATTTATACCGAAAACACGAACACATGGTTTCTTACTCACATGAGTCCAAACAAGCAAAAACAAAAGCAGCCACCAATCAACACAACAACCAAGTCAACTCATACAAAGATGATGTCGAGGGAGAGAAGAGAAGAAGAAGGGGGTGTGAAGGGAAAAAAAAGAGGCATTGTAACAGGAGAAAGGAGAGAGAAAAAAAAAAACCTAAACAAATTAAATTACATCCCTTTCCTGCCTCTTCCCCTCAGTCACTGTCTTCCTCTACCTTCCATTTTCCACTCCCTTGTTGTGCTATTTCTTTTTCAACTCATTTTGCTGCCTCACTTTCTCCCCCCCCCCCCCCATTCTTTCTGTCAGTCTCTGTCTCTCTCTCTCTCCCTATGAGCAGACAGGCAGAGACAGGGAGGCTGTTGTTGTGCTTGCAGTCTGACACTATCAGCTCATAAATCCCTGTCAACAGCTTGTATGTCTCCTCTCCTCTCGTCTCCTCTCCCCTCCTCTGCTCCCTCCCTCCACTGGTGAAGGAGTGGAGGAACCCAGTGACCTGCCAATGAGGGTTTGACTGGCACAGACATACACACACACACACACACACACACACAGTTTGGACAAAGAAGCACACACAGAGACACATGGATGTGCCGATGAATAGATAGATATATAGATAGATAGATAGATAGATAGATGTGTTTCTATGATTCCCCCTTCCTCTGTCTCCCTCCCTCCCTCCCTCTCTCTCTCTCTCTCTCTCTTCCTCCATCCCTGTCTTTCTTTCCCTCGGGCGATGTTTGCCGGCAGACAGTCGTCACTGACAAGCGCTTCCTGTGGTTGGGGTAAACACCTGGGTAATGAGGCCACAGTGCACAACAACCACACAAAAAAAAAAAAAAAAAAAAACACCCCACCAAGGTTCACAGCCGTCGTGCACTGCGCGTGAGGATATATACTGTCGGCACACAATCAGGTCATGCCAACACATAGGGGCGCATACAGTCATGCGTTCACACACATGCGCACAAATCCTGGAGATAGACAAGCACAGGCAAGCATGCACATAAACACACACACACACACACACACACACACACACACACACACACACACACACGCAGCCACACATGCATACTGTATGCTTGGCTCAGACTGCTAAACAAGCAGTGAGCCAACCCAGCCATGTCAGCCAAAACTCAATACCCAGACTGGCCACAGCGCTGAAAGGCACGCTGTAGTGAGTCGAGGTGAGGGGGAACGAACCGAAGTCGAGCTTCTTCTATTCCTTCACTCGTCGCTAATAGTGTGTTCTCCAAACTTAGAATCAAATCCCATCCCCAAGTGTTGTCAGTGAGAAACTCAGTTTGAACAATTTGCAGTCTTTCCCTAAAGTCCTGACTGACTGCAGTGCAAAGTGTGAGAGCTACTGCAATGAAGTGTAGCGCTGTCAGTCTGATTGCCGTGTCACTATCACTGTATGTCACTGGAAGAGTTTTTATTTTTTTCTGTTGAATTGATGAGCCATTAAAAGGGGGAATCCACTGACCAATCGCTTAGCCTTATGCACATGTCACTCATGACAGGATAATTAACGTATGACTGACAACACAGGAGACTTAATTTGCAGTTAAATGATGGTCCTAATGGTCTTGTCAAACATGGCTGTCACATCATAACTGACTGTTAGTCTGAAGATGAGTTGATGAGCGAAGTTGCACACATTTTGCTCAGAGCTGCATTGGCGATATCGGTTCATTCTCCAGGCTCAGGAACTATTCACTCTCAACTCAATGTCGCTTGGACACATTTTGTGAAGTGAAAATTAATCAGCTTTGGAATTGCTGGAAAGTGTATTTAATCACTTTTGAAAGAGCTAGGCCAACACTTTGTTCTTGCTTGTCTTTGAGATATAGAAGACTAAATACATGCTGGATCTATCTGGACTCGCAGAGATGAAACTGATATCAATCTTCTCATGTGACTGTAGATTTGGCAGTGTACGCAATTGCTTCTTTTTTATCAGTCTTCTTTTCTTCTTTTTCCCTGTTTCTTTCATTTATGGAGAAAATGTTGCACTGATTCTCAAAGCTTAGAGTCTAGGACAACATGAGAGGATCATTTTGAGGCAAAAGAGATGGGCAATTTACCCAGCAACTGCAACCAATAGTACATTTTCATGCCACTCTTGTTCCGTACGATGTTCTGTCATCCAGATTGATTTAGTCACAACAGAATCACACGTTTCTGCTTCGCTGCCTAAAAATATTGTGCGCATATCAAAGTCTCAAGAATGTTCGGTGTCAAAAGCACTGGAGTACAAGTGATTCACTCAAGAATCATCTTATTGTGTTATCTCTGGACAATACGGCGCTGCCTGCATCTCATGTGTCATAGGAACAACAGGGAAGCCCGTGGTGAATCATCAGCCCTGCCAGACTAACAAAGCTGGAAAAGCCTTTGAGCGCTTTTAGTTTTGCAGAGGTTTTAATGTCCAAAGGACGTCACACAAAGCTGTTGTGTTACTAACTTTGGCAAAAACATGGGTGTATGTGTGTCTGCATGTGTGTGTGTGTGTGTGTGTGTGTGTGTGTGTGTGTGTGTGTGTGTGTGTGTGTGTGTGTGTGTGTGTGTGTGTGTGTGTGTGTGTGTATGTGGCCCACACATGTCTTTGTGTGCAAAGGAAATGGCTGACAGTGAAAAATGTGACCAATTCTAATTTTAATTGCCAATGAAAAAAAGGCCTCAATATTTATGGGTTCTGTCCAGATGAACAGAGGAGAAGGGTTTAAGCATGAAAGCATATTCCTTATCACAATTAAAAAGTGCTTTAACATGACTGCAATCCCTTGACGTTAGATTAGCAGTAATATTGGAGAGATCGGCCCTGGCTTTGAACAATGGAAACTGAATAGGGAAAAAGAAATTATTTAACAGAGCCAAAGGTAATGCTTTCTTTTCGTTGTCTCTCTTTTTTTTTTCTCTTGAATTAGCCTCATGCTATTTTGTGTGGAACCACAATTTTTTTTTTTCTTTCTTTTGAACA